ACCTAGCCGCCTTTCTTCTCCATGGCGGTGACCACCCAATTTTCTCCTTCCCCCGGTGGTGGTACTCTAATATTTTTTTCGTTTTTTTCTATCTTTTACATGAACACCACCTGAATTTTCTCCCTTCCCCGGTGGTTCTCTATCTTTTCCGTTCTTCTTCTCCATGGCCTAAAACCTAGCCGCCGCTCTCTTCTTCTCCATGGTCGGCGACCACTAAACCAATTATCTCCCTCCCGGTGGTGGTAATTTATATTATTTTCCGACATCTTTTTCTTCCTAGTCGGTTATTCTCAAATCTCTTTATTCTCTATATCCTTCTTTTCATTATTTTTCTCCCTCCTCTCTCTTATCTTCTCTCTATCTCGATAACAAAAAAAAAAAAAAAAAAAAGAGAGGTTGCTTATTTTTCACTCACCCGTTTATTATTATTATTATTTTTTTATCAATTGGACAGATATTTCCACAGAGGAATTCTCTAGCATTGTGTTTCGCCTTTTCTGTCCAGTCTTCACTTTTGGAGTATATTCGTTCCGACTGCGGGAACGTGTTAGCAAGTGATTGTCCAGTCTTCACGTTCGTCACGTTTCGACTGCGAGGGTGTGTTAGAGAATATTATATTATAGAACTCTTGTAATATTAGGATTCTAGTATGATTGAGTTACCTAGATTAGTTAGGATTTAGTTACCTAGTCAAACTCTATTACCTTGCAATATTTCTCTATATATATTCCATGTAATCAACCCATAACAGAATGGGGGTTTCTATTCTACGTATTATTATTTCTCTCTTTCTCCTATTCTATTCTTCCTATATTATTTTATTTTTTTGAAATTTTGATATTATTGTCTTGGCTGCTAAATTAATGTCTCCAACAGTAATTTAACTGTCTGAGACAGTAATATTACTTTATAATTAATTTATGGGTAAAATACACTTTGCACCCCTGTACTATGGAATAGGTCGCATTCACCCCCCTATACTATTGAATACATGAAAGACCCCCCTATTTTTAACAGTCAATGGTTAGAAATTTAACGTCGTTAGATTTTATAGTGCAATTACTCTTCTACCCTTTCTTGCATCCTATGAAATAACTCTCTCATCAATCTCTCTTCTCTCTGTGAAAAATCTCAGTCTCTCTTTCACGGGGCAAAAAAATTCACTAGAAAATGGATTTCTCATTTTGGCTGAGAAATTGCTTGGAGAAATTATGTATCAAAGGAAGTTTAACACAAATGACTTCAATTTTCCCCAACAACCGCCACCACCCCACCACCTCACCACCAAAATCTTGAAATCCTAGACGATGATGATGTCACCATCCCTACCGTCGATCTCCTCCTATTGAACGAATACACCATCTCCGTCGTGCGTACGGTGGAAAATGACGCGTCACCACCTACGCCGTCGCCGCCGCAGACTCCCCTCGGCTGACATCGAGGTGGGTTCTTCTGCAGGGATGAAAACACAAAAATCAGCCGATGGGTTTCTGATTATGGTTGAAGTGATGAAAATTGTAGAGAAAAGGCTGAACATAAAAGAAATTATCAAAAATATGATGATGGGTTCTTGGGATTGTTCTTGGGGTTGGGGGTTGGGGGGGCCGATTGCTGGGATTATTTTTGACTTTGGAAGATGATGAAGAAAGAAATTAAGAAAAGGGAAAAAGATAATTGATAATGTCAAATTTTAATATTAATATTTATATTCACAAAAAACAATATGTTTTTTTTTAGTAAAAAACAGTATGTTTCTATATTACATAGAAATCTAAAATTTAGAATTATATATAGTTTTTTCTATAATATATATATATATATATATATATATATATATATATATATATATATATATATATATATATATATATATATATATATATATATATATATATATATATATATATATATATATATATATATATATATATATATATATATATATATATATATATATATATATATATATATGTATATATGTGTATGTATATATATATATATATATATATATATATATAGTGTGTGAGTATATGTGTGTGTATGTGTATATATATATATATATATATATATAAATATATAGATATATAGGGGTAGTGGTTTGTCTAGAGAGATATAAATAGAGATATAGAGAGAAGAGGTGTTTTTGAGAGTGAGATAATTAAAGAGGGGGG